AGTGTGTTTTTACGCACTTATTAGGCATTTTAATGAGCTATTTATTGATGAAATTGAATGAATTCCTATTTATAATTGTGTAATTATGGTGTTCGTAAGCCAAAATCCCAAATTGAAGGAGAAAATGGCTAAATGAAGGAAAAGATGACCAAAAGTGCACAAAAAATGAATTCAAGGACCAAAGTGTACAAGTGCCGAAAGTTTAAGGACTTAATGTTGCAAATTTTGGAGGGCATGATTGAAAGAAAAGTCAAATTTTGAGGACTAAAATGTACAAGTTCGAGGTTAAGGGATCTAGTGTGAAAATTTGGAGAGGACCTGAGCTGCAAATACTAAAAATTGGGCGCGCCACTGTAGCAGCGCCGTGGTGCCACACCTCTGTCCCTTATAGTGCTGCAGCACAATTTTCAGAGCGCCGTGGCCGTGGCTAATGACCTGTTTGCCTATATCTTTGTAGGTAGTGATCATTTTGCAATTACAAAACACGATTTTTGAGCCATTTAAAAGGCAAAATTGATCCATTTTTCTCTCATTCTTCATTCACTTAAAAAACCCTAGCTTAGAAAGAAAAGGGGGCAAGCAAAAAGGAGAAGAAATACCACACCAAAGGGAGAAAATCTTTGAGAAATCAAGACCAAAACCAAGCAAGCTTCAAGGATTTGACCAATGGACGGGTTTATTTCTTTGTCTTGTATTTTACATTATATTTTTCTCAACTTTTGTGATGTATTCCTTTAATCCTTTCATTTGTGCCCTACAAATACAATTGGCTAAACATTTTGATGTTGGGATGAATGAGGAGCTTGGCTTAACTATATAAATTTCTTTATCCACTATTTAATGCTTATATTCTTGTGTTTTTACCATTGTTTTGAGTGTTTTATCATTATTGTGGCCACTATGTGATAATGTCTAGTGATTTGTGTGATTATTGAGAAATTGTTGCACATTTTAGACTAAGGTGGTAGAAACCTTAGGTTCTTGTGGAAATAGAGATATATTCCTAGCCCTAGGTAACTCTTTAGTTATTTTCATTAATATTTAATGCTTTCGATCGTGTTTAATCAACATAGAGATATAGTAGGTTAAACCAATTGATAAGGGTTAGTTTCACTTGAGAAAGTTAATTAACTAAAATAGGAAAATCGAGTTTGACGAGAAAAGTGAGCAATGCTCTATTGAATTGTTTTAAGGAATTAATTTAGTGACAGCCAAGTGGAATCATAAATCTCAACCAGATTAAAATCTAACTTCTATCATAATTGCAATTGTGTATTTCACTTGAATACTTAGAATCATTTTCTTTTAATTTTCAAATTCAAAGATATTAATTGTGTATTTCTCGATCATTTTTCAAATTAACTCCCATGTAATTGGAATAAACACTCTTCGAGGGATCGACTCGGACTCAAAAAGTCCATTCTATTACTTGAACGCGATCCGTGTACTTGCAGTATAGGATTTTAGCGAACAATTTTTTTGCGCCATTGCCGAGGAGTGTTTTAATTCAATTACAATCTTTTGTTGATTCGAATTTTCAGAATTTTATTTTTGTTCTTTTGTGTAGTTTTTAAATTTTTATCTTAAAGTTGACTTCTTAATTTTGGTTTCTCTAGGTCTTCAGTAGTGCATGCTTCGTTCGAAAAGTTTTGATCTTTTCGAACTTGATCCGGATATTGAAAGAACTTTTCGAAGAAGGCGACGGGAACAAAGAGAATTAAGAAGGCAACAATTGATTGAGATGGCACACCAAGGAGGTAATTTGGAACCTAATGCTTAACCGAAAAATGTTCCTCGAGGTGGCATTTCACCGGGTTTTGTTAATCAAGTGGGTAGAGCTCAAGAGCCCAATGTAAATGAGGAAGATATGCTATTTTGGGACTTTATGAACCCACCCGTAGTAGAGAATGAATCAAGTATTGTCTACCCTTCATATGGACATCCAAACTTTCAACTTCTTCCGGATGTCATCAGCTTGTTCCAGTACTATTCCATTCTGTGGAAGAATTAATGAGAACTCTCACTCACATGTTGCACGGTTTATAGAAAATGTTGGAAACTTTAACTATGAAGGTGTGAATGTGGAAGGGATCTGGATGAGCTTATTTGTTCACACTTTAAAGGATAAGGCAAGGGAGTGGCTTGAAACTCTATTCCCTGGAAGTATAAATAGTTGGATGTAATTTGTTCAAAAATTCACAACCAAATTCTTTCCACCCGCCTGAGTAGCCAAACTTAAGCATGACATAACCACTTTCCAATAATCCAAATTTGAGAGCTTTCACGAGGCTTGGGAAAGGTTCAAGGATATGCTTCGAAAATGTCCAAATCATGGAATCACAATGGGACAACAAGTGAATTATTTTTATGCCGGGTTGACTCCTTCTTGTCGTTCAAATGTATGTTCATCATCTAATGGCTCAATCAAGAAGAAGAGTATTCGGGAAGCATATGATCTATTTGAGGTCATGAGTGAGCAAAGTACTATGTGGTCAGATAGAGGTTCACAAAGAGGTGTTGGTGGAGTTCAAGATGGTGAAGTTTTCTCAATGGTTCTAGCAAAGATCGACTTATTAGCAAAGAAGGTAGAAGGACTTTCTACATCTACATCTACCTCTAAGTCTAACTCTCATTCCGCTCATATGGTACAATCTCCGCCTATGTGTGATATTTGTGGAGCAAATCACCCAAGCCCGAGTTGCCCATTGATAGGTAGTAGTTTGGCATCCACCGAGCAAGTGGCATATGCTCAAAACTTTCAACGCCAAGGGTATAATCCTTACTTTCAAACTTATAACCCCGGTTGGCAAAATCATCCAAACTCCTCTTATGGAAACCAAACTATGCTCAACCCGAGGCCATAAGAGAAAAAAGAAGGTTGGTAAGATGCCATTGCTAAGTTAGCAAACCATCAATTGCAATATCAGGAACGTAGTGATGTCTCTTTGAAAAACTTGGAACGTCAAGTGGGTCAAATTGCTAAGATTCTCTCCGAAAGGCAACAAGGGACGTTGACTAGCAACACCGAAACAAATCCAAGGGAGAATGTGCAAGCCATTACCATTAGGAGTGGGGTACAGTTGCCCGAAATCACGGTGGTACGTCCTAAGGCTCAAACTGGCAAGGCACCTATAGAAGAAGAAGGGGTTAGGCAAGAACCTAATGCAAAGGATGAAGCAAACAAAGAAAATGAACCGGAGCCATCAACATCAAAGGCTCCAACACCGATCAACTTATGTGCCTCCTATTCCCTTCATACAAAGGCTTCACAAACAGAAATTGGATTCTCAGTTTGGAAAACTTTTGGAGGTATTCAAGAAACTACACATAAACATTCCATTTGCCGATGCATTAGCTCAAATGCCGAGTTATGCCAAATTTATGAAGGATATTCTTTCAAACAAAAGAAATCTCGAAGGGCATGAGATAGTAATGCTAACGGAGGAGTGTAGTGCCATCCTTCAAAAGAAGCTACCACCGAAAATCAAAGATCCAGGGAGTTTTACTATTCCATGCATTATTGGTGATTTAAATTTTAGTAAAGCTTTATGTGATCTTGATGCTAGTATTAATTTGTTGCCTTTGTCTATTTTCAGGAAGTTGGGATTAGGAGAAGCCAAGGCCACCACCGTGTCATTACAATTGGCTGATCGATTAATAAAATATCATAATGGTGTCATTGAGGATTTATTGGTCAAGGTGGACAAATTTATATTTCCAATCGATTTCATAATTCTTGACATGGAAGAGGATCATGACATCCCTATCATTTTGGGACAGCCGTTTCTTGCCACCGACTGAGCTTTGATTGATGTGCAAGAGGGACAGCTCATTCTAAGACTCCAAGATGAACAAGTTACATTCAAAATCTTGAAAGCCATCAAGTATCCATCGGAATCCGATTCATGGCTTCGCGTGGATGTTATTGAACATGTGGTTGCCAAGCCTCTTTATAGGCTTTCTAAGGATCCTGTGGAAACATGTCTTGTATGTCCTTCAGCTATCAAAGAGTAAGATCCTGAAGTTGAGCATATGATACACTACTTGGAGGCTATACCTTCTCGGTCTTACAAGAGGACACCAAATTATGAGGACTTGAAACAGAGCTCTTCACCACCACTGTCATCTCTTCTGTAGGCACCTATACTTGATTTGAAGCCTCTTCCATCTCATTTGAGGTATGCTTATTTGGGAGAGTCATCTATGCGTCCGATTATCATTGCTAATTTCTTAAGTGAATTGGAGGAAGGGAAGCTACTTCGGGTGCTGAGGGAACACAATGAAGCCATTGGTTGGACTATTGCAGACATTCGGGGAATTAGTCCTTCATTATGCATGCACAAAACCCTTATGGAGGATGATTTCAAACCATCAGTGGAGCATCAAAGGCGGTTGAACCCCAACATGAAAGAAGTGGTAAGAGTCGAGGTGGTAAAGTGCCTAGATGTAGACATTATTTATCCGATTTCAAATAATGCATGGGTGAGCCCCGTTCAAGTGGTACCAAAGAAAGGAGGAGTCACGGTTGTGGAAAATGAGGATAATGAGTTTGTGCCTACTAGACCCGTGACCGGTTGAAGGGTATGCATAGACTACCGCAAGCTTAACAAGGCTACAAGGAATGATCACTTTCCTCTCCCTTTTATTGATTAAATGCTTGAGCGGTTAGCGGGATATTCTTACTATTGCTTTTTGGATGGGTATTCAGGCTATAATCAAATTTCTATAGCCCCAGAGGATCAAGAAAAAACTACATTTACATGCCCATATGGTACATTTGCATATAGAAGGATGCCCTTTGGTCTTTTCAACGCACCCGCCACTTTCCAAAGGTGTTTGATGGCTATTTTTTTCGACATGGTGGAAAAATGTATTGAGGTTTTTATGGATGACTTCTCGATATTTGGGGCCTCATTTGACGGATGTTTGAGCAATTTGGAGATGGTGTTGAAAAGATGTGGGGGACCAATTTAGTACTTAATTGGAAAAAATGTCATTTCATGGTCCAGGAAGGCATAGTTCTTGCCCATCGAATTTCACATAAAAGGATAGAAGTTGACAAGGCAAAAATCCAAGTGATTGAGAAATTACCTCCACCTATCTCGGTGAAAGGGATAAGGAGTTTTTCGGGACATGCCGAATTTTATAGGAGTTTTATCAAAGACTTCTCGAAGATTACAAAGCCACTTTGCTCCTTACTAGAGAAGAATACTCCATTTAATTTCTTTCAAGAGTGTCTCCATGCTTTCAACACTTTTAAAGAGAAACTCATCACGGCTCCTTTCATTGTAGCTCCAAATTGGAATCTACCATTTGAACTTATGTACGATGCAAGTGATTATGCCATTGGAGTAGTTTTGGAGCAAATGAGAGATAAAATTTTGCATGTTATCTACTATGCTTGCCGGACTTTGATCGATGCTCAATTGAACTACGCTACTACTGAAAAAGAGATGCTTACAGTAGTATTTGCATTTGATAAATTTCAATCTTACCTCATTGGATCGAAAGTGATTGTTTACACAGACCATTCGGCCCTCAAGTATTTGCTAGCAAAGAAAGATGTCAAGCCTCGGTTGATTAGATGGGATGGGTCTTTCTTCTACAAGAGTTTGACTTGAAAATTCGCGATAAAAAAGGGATCGAAAATGTTATTGCCGATCATCTGTCTCGACTTGAGCAACCCGTAGAGGTAGTGGATGGAGAGATAAATGAGGTGTTCCCCGATGAACAACTCTTGCAAATTATGCATATTCTACAAGCCACTCATATACCATGGTATGCAGACCATGTGAACTTTCTTGCTAGTGGCAGTACTCCATCGGATCTTTCTTACCAAGAAAGGACAAGGTTCTTCGCTGATATCAAGCGCTATTTTGGGGATGATCATTTGTTTTTCAAACGGGGTCCGGATCAAATTATTCGAAAATGTGTACCAGAAGAAGAAATGGAGCAAATTCTTGAACAATGTCATTCTTCTCCCTATGGTGGTCACTTTGGGGCCATTAAAACCGCATCAAAGGTACTTCAATCCGATTTTTATTGGCCTAGTTATTCAAAGATGCTCATACTCTTGTCTTCAAATGCGACAAATGCCAACGCAATGGTAATATTTCCAACCGAAATGAAATGCCTTTGAATTCTATATTGGAGGTAGAGATTTTTGATGTGTGGAGTATTGATTTCATGGGGCCTTTTCCTTCTTCATTCTCAAATCAATACATATTAGTGGCGGTTGATTATGTGTCAAAGTGGGTAGAAGCGGTGGCTGTGCCCACTAATGATGCTCGGGTGATAGTGAACTTTTTAAAGAAAAAATATCTTCTCTCGCTATGGTACCCTTCGAGCTATCATTAGTGATGGAGGTAAATATTTTTACAATCGCCTCTTCGACTCACTATTGACCAAATATGGAGTAAAGCATCGTGTGGCCACTCCCTATAATCTTCAAACTAGTGGCCAAGTTGAGATCTCAAATAGGGAGTTAAAGAGGATTCTTGAATTGACAGTGGGTGCCTCTAAAAAAGATTGGTCCAAGAAATTGGATAATGCATTATGGGCTTACTGTACCGCTTTCAAAATACCCATTAGTATGTCTCCTTATCGTATATTGTTTGGGAAAGCTTGCCACCTCTCGGTAGAACTTGAGAACTAGGCTTATTGGGCGATAAAAACTTTGAATTGTGATGTTAAATCGGCCAGCGAGAAAAAATTGCTCCAATTGAATGAACTTGATGAGCTCCGCCTTGATTCATATAAAAGTGCTCGAATTTATAATGAGAAGACAAAGAAATGGCATGACCAAAACATTGTAAAGCATTGTAGGGCAACAAGTTCTTCTTTACAATTCTCAACTCCGATTGTTCCCTGGGAAGCTCCGCTCAAGATGGTTGGGTCCTTTCACTATCGCTAAAATTTTTCCACATGGAGCGGTTGAACTTCATCATGAGGAAAAGGGAAATTTCAAAGTTAACGGGCAACTGTTGAAACCATACTTTGGAGGTGATTTTTCTAAGGTGAAGTCCTCCATCCCTCTTGCCAATCCGGAGTGAACAAGGCCTATAGTCGAGCTAGGGACTATAACCAAGCGCTTGTTGGGAGACAACCCAACTTTCTTATCCTTACGTTTTTTTATATATTACTTGTGATTAATACTTTTGTTATTGAATTTTGGATTAATACCGTTCTTTTGTAGGTCCTAATCATTGAAGTCCTAGCCACCCATAAATCTTAACAAGCTTGGGAGTGTACATTAAGCTATGACCTAAAAAGTCATCGACAACAAACTTCAACAAAAATCTTATCAGGGAAGTTTTGTCCATCCCCTTTACTTATTTTTATTGGTTATGTACACACTGAGGACAATGTGTAAATTAAGTTTGGGGGTGTTGATGGGATATTGTGCTTATATATTGTTCTTATAGTGGTGTTAACATTGACATGTTGGAGCCTTGTCGGCTTTTGATGATTTGATGTGATGTTTAAAATTGTTGTTAATTCATAAGTCATGGCCAATCATGTTATTTGCCTCGATCTTGAAATTTGCTTGTCCATGTGAGATATTATACCACTTTGAGCACATTAGTCACGATTGGTTGTTGTCGAGATTTGGAAATGGTTGATTGATGGAGAGATTTTTGAATTTGTTGAACTAGGTTGTGAGTTGTGCATAAATTTATGTCAATCATATTCTCACTTCTTTTTCACTTAACCATACTATGAGAAAAGTCTGGGGATGGTCGAGTCGGTGATGGATATTATCTAGAAGTGTGTTGATTCCGTCCATGTTGAAAATATTTGTGTGGAGTGTCTTTTGCCAACTATAAGCTAGGTAATGACCATATGCTAGGGATCTAAGCCTCATATTTGTTAATGCTTTTAAAAAAAAGGAGTATTATTGCACTTGTTGAATCTTGAGCCTCACTTCGTAGCCTTGTTTACTTGAGTTATTAAGTCTGTATAAGTATTTTAAAACCTGGTACCCTTTGGCCTAAACAACCGAGAGTTATCGACCTAAAGCTCGCTATAAAGATCAAGAAGAAAGCTTAAGGGAGTGAGGTAAAACATGGGATTTGACAATAAAAAAAAGAAAAAAAATTATTTGTTATGAAATTGTAATTGATATTTGGTCTTAGATAACTAGTGGGTTTGAATTTCTTAGTATAAACTTGAATATGGAATCACTCATTAGTGCAGAATCATCACATGAATAGAGATTGATATTGCTTGTTAGACCCAACCAAACTAGAGTGCAAAAAGAAATGAATGATTAGAGAGCAACCTTTAGTTTTACGCTTGGGAAAGAGAATGAAATTGCTATATTTTGATGTGAATTTCACGAGAGGAAAAGGAAAATACTTGACCAAAAGGATTGGGTTGGAGCTAATTTGAAAATTTTTCTGTCTTGATAATTTTTTCTGAATTTAGATAAAAATTAAATGTGACTATGCACACACATACACAATCAAGCATTGGACAAGCTCATACAAGTTCAAAGTTGAGGGATCTAGTGTGCAAATATGGGAAAGACCTGAGCTGCAAATACTAAAAATGGGGTGTGCCACTGTAGCGGCTCCGCAACGCCACTGTAGCAGTGCTGCGGCACCACACCTGTCCCTTGTAGTGCTACAGCACCATTTTCAGAGCACCTCGATCGTGGTTAAGGACCTGTTTGCCTATATCTTTGTAGTTAGGGATCATTTTGCAATTACAAAACACGATTTTTGAGCCATTTAAAAGGCAAAATTGATCCATTTTTCTCTCATTCTTCATTCACTTAAAAAACCCTAGCTTAGAGAGAAAAGGGGGCAAGAAAAAAGAAGAAGAAATACCACACCAAAAGGAGAAAATCTTTGAGAAATCAAGACCAAAATCAAGCAAGCTTCAAGGATCCGACCAAGGGACGGGTTTATTTCTTTGTCTTGTATTTTACATTATATTTTTATCAACTTTTGTGATGTATTCCTTTAATTCTTTCATTTTGTGCCCTACAAATACAATTGGCTAAACATTTTGGTGTTGGGATGAATGAGGAGCTTGGCTTAACTATATAAATTTCTTTATCCACTATTTTATGCTTATGTTCTTGTGTTTTTACCATTGTTTTGAGTGTATTATCATTATTGTGGCCACTATGTGATAATGTCTAGTGATTTGTGTGATTATTGAGAAATTATTTTTAGACTAAGGTGGTAGAAACCTTAGGTTCTTGTGGAAATAGAGATATATTCCTAGCCCTAGGTAACCCTTTGAGTTATTTTCATTAATATTTAATGCTTTTGATCGTGTTTAATCAACATAGAGATATAGTATGTTAAACCAATTGATAAGGGTTAGTTTCACTTGAGAAAGGTAATTAACTAAAATAGGAAAATCGGGTTTGACGAGAAAAGTGAGCAATGTTCAATTGAATTGTTTTGAGGAATTAATTTAGTGACAGCCAAGTGGAATCATAAATCCCAACTCGATTAAAATCTAACTCCTATCATAATTGCAATTGGGTATTTCACTTGAATACTTAGAATCATTTTCTTTTAATTTTCAAATTCAAAGATATTAATTGTGTATGTCTTGGTCGTTTTTCGAATCAACTCCAGTGTAATTGGAATAAACATTCTTCAAGGGATCGATTCGGACTCAAAAAGTACACTCTATTGCTTGAACGGAACCCGTGCACTTGCGATATAGGATTTTAGCGAACACTTAGCCCCAGAAAACAACTCCTCCATCACATTCTATAAACCTTTTAGTCTATTTGTCATCAATTTCCAACCTTTACCATTGTCAATCACAATATCATCTGAACGAACTTCATGAACCATCTCCAAGTTTTCGTGTTCTTTCTTTCAAAAACAACATATGCAATTGGGATCTTACAGTTGATGCTTCTGAGAGACTACAGGTAAAATCTTCGAATATAATGCAAAGTTTAAGGTTAGTGAGGATGGAAGAGTACAATGGGCTTGCAAAATATGCTATCTACATGGAGGATATGGGCATCTTAAATGCAGTCCCGATTGCTACTATCATAATGCTAGTATAACAAACAATGCTATTACGAAATGCTTGTAACACCACCCACAACAAGTCATAAACTATAACATCTACATCAAATTTACCTTTACCTTCGTCATCCATGTGCATGCCTTCTCTAATGCAATACAACAACTTGCAACTTGTAAGCTAGAATTTTGGAGGGTTGTCGACGGATGTTCGAAAATGATTTGGGTGTTCGGATTTGAAATTGATTTGGGAATTACAGTTGGGTTTGATATTTATGTTGTGATTCCCCTATTGCAATCAAAAAGAAATGGATTTCTATTTGGATTTCAGGCCTAAGGTTCTTTGTGACGTTTTTACGGGTTTTTCGATTCGAAGGAGGAAACACATTTCTGCAATTGAAATGGATTTGGGACAATGGCTATGGTTTCTTCAATTTCATTGGAGTAAGAATGTTTTGATTTTGATTTCATTCAATTGTCATTTCACATTTTTTTTATCACCGTAGGTGGGTAAGGCTGCGTTTGGATGATTTGTCATCTACGTGCAGAAAAGGTTGACATTTTAATAAACAAATCAGCTTTTCGTCTTTCACGTGGACATATTCACGAATGGAATCCATCCGATGGCCATTTCAGTATAACTGAGATAAGTTCAATGGCTATTGGGAAGCATCGTAAAGTTCAATGGGTAAGCTGTGACGATAGATAAAGTACAATGACCAATGAAAGAATTAACTCGAATATTATATCTCTAAAAATTTTCTTCCTTTAGCTTTTTAATTAATTTTCAACCCATTTTTATTTGTGCTGATGGCCTTTTTTATTAACGATTTTTAGGGACATTTATTTATTTTTTGTTAGTGAAAACACTTACAATTACGCTGTAAGTATGATTAAACTCTAGTTTTAATACTTTAGTCGAGTTTTATGATTTTGTGACACTTGTCATGCATTTTATTATGTACACATGATGATCATACTGATTTGATTGTATCAGGTTGTTCAAAAAATTGATATCTATGTTCAAGATTGAATTAAGGTTGTTTTTTTCGCCGTTTGGATGATGTTCCATTTGTCCTTTAATCCAAGTATTAGGGTCGAGCAAGGCTTTGTTAGATGATGCTTTGACTACTAAGGCATTTTATGTTTAGGGTGGGCCTTATCAACCTTGATGCAGATGATAGCGCACACATTGACATGCAATGAAGTCCTTTTGAGCAAACATCATAGGAAAGTAAAGAGGCCTCTTGGGGTCGATGTGGAGTCCTCATAATTTTGAAGCAAGGGTTTTATATTCCCGAGGAACGAAAGAGTTTGATGTTTTCCCAGTTGGCAGTTCTATAATTTTCGATTGCCATCTACCTCATGACTTTACCTATTATGATGTGCTTATGTCATAGCAAAACAAACGCTCTCTTTGATATCGAGACATCTATGCCAGAAAAAATAAAGATAACCTGTGTCTTTAACTTTATAAAAATTCGAAGTGTTAGGTATAGAAGAAATAGTAGGACTTACTTTTTGGAGGAGTAATTCTATTTAACACTTAAAAGTGGTTAACTGGTTCCCAATGAAATGGTAGGGCCAATGACTCCAAGACCAGGCTAGGTATGAATCATGCTATGTTATATTATTTATTTTGAAAATAACAGCTAGGGTAGACCAGTCCACATGTACCCGTGTGTTGACTTTTACAAGTGTATTTGTAAACCATACCAAATAGGCATGGCTAAGTTGATCTCGATGTTTTGGGAATTGGGCAGAAACAATTATGGATCATATACTTCGATAGTGGAATCCATTAATCATTGTATGGATGATCATATCGATTTGATTGTATCAGGTTGCTCAAAAAAAATGATGTCTATGTTCAAGATTGAATTAAGGTTGTTTTTTTTCGCCGTTTGGATGATGCTTCCATTTGTCCTTTAATCCAAGTATTAGGTCGAGCAAGCCTTTGCTAGATGATGCTTTGACTACTAAGGCATTTTATGTTTAGGGTGGGCCTCATCAACCTTGATGCAGATGATAGCGCACACATTGACATGCAATGAAGTCCTTTTAAGCAAATGTCATAGGAAAGTAAAGAGGCCTCTTGGGGTTGATGTGGAGTCCTCATAATTTTCAAGCAAGGGTTTTATATTCCTGATGAACGAAAGAGTTTGATGTTTTTCCAATTGGCAGTTCTATAATTTTGGATTGTCATCTACCTCATGACTTTACCTATTATGATGTGCTTATGTCATAGAAAAACAAACGCTCCCGTTGATATCGAGACATTTATGCCAAAAAAATAAAGATAACCAGTGTCTTTAACTATATAAAAATTCGAAGTATTAGGTATATAAGAAATACTAGGACTTACTTTTTGGAGGAGTAATGCTATTTAACACTTAAAAGTGGTTCACTGGATCCTAGTGAAATGGTGGGGCCAATGACTCCAAGACCGAGCTAGGTATGAATCATGATACGTTATATTATTTATTTTGAAAATAACAGCTAGGGTGGACCAGTCCATCTGTACCTGTGTGTTGACTTTTACAAGTGTATTTGTAAACCATACCAAACAGGCATGGCTAAGTTGATCTCGATATTTTGGGAATCGGGCCGAAACAATTAGGGATTATATACTTGCGATAGTGAAATCCATTAATCATTGAGATGAGACGATCGTCACTTTAAGGTATTTTATATGGGCAAATTGAACCTGAGCTCAATAATTTGATGATAAGATCGTTGCATTATATACTGTGATTTGATCACAACGAATTCGCCTTATGAAAATCGATCTTAGAGGGCAATACATGTTGAAGCACAAAATGATTATTCTGCCATTTTCAACATATTGACGATCAAATGGAGGTTGATTTGTTGAACGATAATAAGAGATTATTGTTATCGGATCATAATTTACTTTTATAACTGTCACTTGATTTAATAGTATAATCTCAAATTTTTGGAAAAATGAGTCAGGATTAATAGATGTTTCTCAATTGGTCAAGAGTTAACTCAATTAGAAATATCTATTGGAACTTGAGTCATGTGAGTTCGGTTAGGTTTCTCTCTTGGATCCAATAAAGATGTTTGACTTAATTGGTCTGCAATAATAAAATTCAAGAAAATTTGTGCAATTTTCTAACCCTAATTGAGTATTATAAATATGCTATTTATGGGAATATTTTTATATGGTTTTAGGGTTAGCCACATTTTATTTTCCAAAAAAGGAGGCATCTAAATGAGCACAAGGGAGAAGATTTAAGGGAGGAAGCATTTGGTTAAGCCATTAAAAATTCCTTCAATGTTATCATCTTCTCTTTATGTGTGAAGATTTAAAAACATTCAATGATCACAAGGTAATCTAAGGTCCTTTATTCGTTTGGTTCAATCTTTAAAGTTTTCTTGGGGTTGATGTGGAGTCCTCTCGAGCAATATTAATTTATTACATAACGTTAGTCTTTCAAGCTAGAGTTTCATATTCCTAAAGAACGAAGTAGTTTGATGTTTTTCTTGTTGGCAGTTCTAAATTTTTGGATTGCCATTTACCTCATGGCTTTGCCTATCATGATGTGCTAATGTCATAGCAAAACAAACGCTCTTGTTGATATCGAGACATTTATGTCAGAAAAAATAAAGATAACTTGTGTCTTAACTTTATAAAAATTCGAAGTGTTAGGTACAGAAGAAATACTATGACTTACTTTTTGGAGGAGTAATGCTATTTAACACTTAAAAGCGGTTTACTGGATCCCAATGAAATGGTGGGGCCAATGACTCCAAGACCGGGCTAGGTATGAATCATGCTACGTTATATTATTTATTTTGAAAATGACAGCAAGAGTAGATCAGTCCACCTGTACCTGTGTGTTGACTTTTACAAGTGTATTTGTAAACCATAACAAATAAGCATGGCTAAGTTGATCTCGATGTTCTGGGAATTAGGCCGAAACAATTAGGGATCATATACTTGCGATAGTGGAATTCATTAATCCTTGAGATGAGAAGATCGTCACTCTAAGATATTTTCTATAGGCAAATTGAACCTGAGCTCAGTAGTTTGATGATGAGATCGTTGCACTTTATACTATGATTTGATCACAACGAATTCGCCTTATAAAAATAGAACTTAGAGGGCAATACATGTTGAAGGACAAAACTATCATTTTTCCATTTTCAACATATTGATGGTTAAATGGGGATTGATTTGTGGAATGATAATCGGAGAATATTGTTATCGGATCATAATTTGTTTCTATAACTGTCACTTGATTTGAGAATGCAATCTCAAATTTTTGGTAGAATGAGTTGGGATTAATAGATGTATCTCAATTGGCCAAGAGTTGACTCAATTAGAAGCATCTATTGGAACTTAAGTCATGTGAGTTCGATTAGGTCCCTCTCTTGGCTCCAATAAAGGTGTTTGACTTAATTGGTCTACTATAATAAAATCCAAGAAAAAGTGTGCAATTTTTTACCCTAATGAGTATTATGAATATGCTATTTATGGGCATATTTTCATATGGTTTTAGGGTTGGCCACATTTTATTTCCCAAAAGTGGAGGCACCTAAATGAGCACAAGGGAGAAGATCTAAGGATGGAAGCATTTGGCTAAGCCATTAAAAACTCCTTCAATATTATCATCTTCCCTTTACGTGTGAGAATTGAAAAACATTCAACGATCACAAGGTAATCTAAGGCTCTTTATTTGTTTGGTTTAATCTTCAAAGGTCTCTTGGGGTTGATGTGGAGTCCTCGCAAGCAATATTAATTTATTACATAACATTAGTCTTTTAAGTCAGAGTTTCATATTCATGAGGAATGAAAGAGTTTGAAGTTTTTCCAGTTGGCAGTTCTAAAATTTTGGTTTGCCATTTACTTCATGACTTTGCCTACCATGATGTGCTTATGTCATAGCAAAACCAAGTGCTTTTGTTGATATCGAGACATATATGCCAAAAAACGTAAAGATAACTTGTGTCTTAACTTTATAAAAATTTGAAGTATTAGGTACAGACGAATATTATGACTTACTTTTTGGAGGTGCAATGCTATTTAACACTTAAAAGCGGTTCATTGGATCCCAATGAAATGGTGAGGCCAATGACTTCAAGACTAGGCTAGGTATGAATCATGCTACATTATATTATTTATTTTGAAAATAATAGTTAGGGTGGACCAGTCCACCTGTACCTTTGTGTTGACTTTTACAAGTGTATTTGTAAACCATAACAAACAGGCATGGCTAAGTTGATCTCGATGTTTTGGGAATTAGGCCAAAACGATTAGGGATCATATACTTAGGATAGTGGAATCCATTCGTCATTGAGATGAGACGATCGCCACTCTAAGATATTTTTTATAGGCAAGTTGAACCTGAGCTCAGTAGTTTGATGATGAGATCGTTGCACTTTATACTGTGATTTGATCACAAAGAATTCGCCTTATGAAAATAGAACTTCGAGGGCAATACATGTTGAAGGACAAAACGATCATTTTGCCATTTTCAACATATTGATGGTTAAATGGGGATTGATTTATGGAATGATAATCGGAGAATATTGTTATCGGATCATAATTTGTTTCTATAACTGTCACTTGATTCGAGAGTGCAATCTCGAATTTTCGGTAGAATGAGTTGGGATTAATAGATGTATCTCAATTGACCAAGAGTTGACTCAATTAGAAGCATCTATTGAAATTTGAGTCATGTGAGTCCGATTAGGTCCTTCTCTTGGCTCCAATAAAGGTGTTTGACTTAATTGATCTATTATAATAAAATCCAAGAAAAAGTGTGCAATTTTTAACTCTAATGAGTATTATAAATATGCTATTTATGAGCATATTTTTATATGGTTTTAGAGTTGGCCACATTTCATTTCCCAAAAGAGGAGGCGCCTAAATGAGCACAAGGGAGAAGATCTAAGGGTAGAAGCATTTGACTAAGCCATTAAAAGCTCCTTCAATCTTATCATCTTCCCTTTATGTGTGTGGATTTAAAAACATTCAATGATCACAAGATAATCTAAGGTCTGTTTGGTTTAATCTTTAAAGGTCTCTTGGGTTGATGTGGAGTCCTCGCAAGTAATATTAATTTATTACATAACATTAGTCGTTCAAGCTAGAGTTTCATATTCATGAGGAATGAGGAGTTTGATGTTTTTCCTATTGGCTGTTCTAAAATTTTGAATTGTCATTTACTTCATGACTTTGCCTAACATGATGTGCTTGTGTCATAGCAAAACAAACGCTCCTGTTGACATCGGTAAATTTATGCCAAAAAAGATAAAGATAACTGGTATCTTAATTTTATAAAAATTCGAAGTGTTAGGTATAGAAGAAATACTATGACTTACTTTTTGGAGAAGTAATGCTATTTAACACTTAAAAGAGGCTCACTGGATCCCAATGAAATGGTGGGGCCAATGACTCCAAGATTATCCTAGGTATAAATCATGCTACGTTATATTATTTATTTTCAAAATAATAGTTAGGATGGACCAATCCATCTGTACCTGTGTGTTGACTTTTCGAGTGTATTGTAAACCATACCAAATAGGCATGGCTAAGTTGATCTTGATATTTTAGGAATCGGACCGATACAATTAGGGATCATATACTTGTGATAGTGGAATCCTTTAATCATTGAGATGAGACGATCGTCACTCTAAAGTATTTTCTATAGGCAAATTGAACTTGAACTCAGTAGTCTAATGATGAGATCGTTGCACTTTATGCTGTGATTTTATAACAACGAGTTCGCCTTATGAAAATGAAACTTAGAGGGCAATACATGTTGAAAGACAAAACAATCATTTTTCTTTTTCGACATATTAACGGTCAAATGGGAGTTGATGTGTGGAACGATAATATGGGAATATTGTTATTCGATCATAATTTGCTTCTATAACTGTCACTTGATTCGAGAGTATAATCTAGAATTTTTAGTAGAATGAGTCGGGATTAATAGATGTATCTCAATTGGTTAATAGTTGATTCAATTAAAAACATCTATTGGAACTTGAATCATGTGAGTTCGGTTAGGTCCCTCTCTTAGCTCCAATAAATGTGAGTGACTTCATTGGTTTGCTATAATAAAATTCAAGAAAACTTGTGCAATTTTTAAACCCTAATTGAGTATTATAACTATACCCTTTTATGGGCATATTTTCATATGGTTTTAGGTTTATCCACATTTCATTTTCTAAAAGTGGAGGCACTTAAAGGAGAACAAGAGAGAAAATCTAAGGGAGGAAGTATTTGACTAAGCCATTAAAAGCTCCTTCAATGTTATCATCTTCCGTTTATGTGTGAGGATTTAAAACAATCCAATGATCACAAGGTAATCTAGGGTCCTTTATTCGTTTGGTTTAATCTTCAAAGGTCTTTTGGGGTTGATGCAGAGTCCTCGTGAGCAATATTAATTTATTACATAACATTAGTCTTTCAAGCAAGAGTTTTATATTCCTAAGGAACGAAGGAGTTTGATGTTTTTCCTGTTGGCAGTTCTAAAATTTTGGATTGCCAATTACCTCATGACTTTGCCTATTATGATGTGTTTAAGTCATAGTAAAGTAAATGTTCCTGTCGATATCGAGACATTTATGCTAGAAAAAATAAATATAACTGGTGTTTTAACTTTGTAAAAATTCAAAGTGTTAGGTATAAAAGAAATACTAGGACTTACTTTTTGGAGAAGTAATGCAATTTAACACCCAAAAGAGAAGTAATGCAATTTAACACCCAAAAGCGATTCACTGAATCCGAAGGAAACAATGGGGCCAATTACTCTTAGACTAGGCTAGGGTGGGACCAGTGCACTTGTACCTTTGTGTTGACTTGTAATTGTAAATCCTACCAAACAAGGAGAGATGCTCAGGTTGAAATTTTGTAGGGCTTCTATAGGTTACATATACAAGGGGTGGGTATTTTTTTGGCTTTTTTTCTATTGGGGTGGACCCCACCCACATAAATTAGGGTCGCTACCATAAGCTTGTTTTCAAATTGGATTTGACCCGGACTGCAACCTCTGCCTCGTATAAACACAACAAAATTCACAAACATAGTTATCCTTCCAAGTGACTAGTTTACAGTATATAGAGAATGGGGGAAGAAAGCAAAGCACCCTTAATACTGAGCCATTCAAATTCATCCGTTTATGAAGATGAGGATCTTAAACGAAAGATTTGGATCGAGTCCAAACTGCTTTGGCACATCGTTGGCCCTGCCATTTTCAGCCGGATTTCGTCCTATTCTATGAATGTCATCACTCAGGCATTTGCTGGACACCTTGGTGATACCGAACTTGCTGCTATATCCATTGTCAATAATGTCATCACCGGTTTCGACTTTGGCCTTTTGGTTCGTTCTTCATCCAACTTTTAAATTGGTCAGATTTCAATTTTAACCGTTCCTGATATTAATGTCGATCAACTAAGATTAATCTTGTTTTCTTCTTTTGATTCTTAACAAAAGTTGGGCATGGCAAGTGCACTGGAAACCTTATGCGGACAAGCATTTGGGGCAAAAAAATATCATATGTTAGGGATATACATGCAACGTTCTTGGATTGTGCTTTTCGCCTGCTGTATATTGCTTTTACCCTTCTATATGTTCGCCGGTCCACTCTTGAAGCTGGTGGGTCAGCCCGAAAATGTGGCGGAGCTCTCAGGTTCTCTGTCCTTGTGGATGATCCCTCTCCACTTCAGCTTTGCCTTTCAGTTCCCACTGCAAAGGTTCCTTCAGTGCCAGCTTAAGACTATTGTCATTGCTTGGGTGGCCTTATTTGCACTAATAGTGCACGTAACGGTCAGCTGGTTGTTTGTGTACGGACTGAAGCTAGGGGTGGTGGGAACCGCCGTGACTTTGAACATTTCGTGGTGGACTTTGGTGTTGGGAATGTTTCTTTACACCGTCTGTGGTGGTTGCCCTCTCACTTGGACCGGCTTCTCAGTGGAAGCCTTTTCCGATCTTTGGGACTTCATCAAGTTATCCGTTTCTTCAGGAGTCATGCTTTGGTAACTAGATTCAAAATTTCATCTTTTACTTAAAATTAATTGAATTTCTATTTTATTACATGTGATTAAACACAAATGTTTCATCAACAGCTTGGAGAATTGGTATTACAGAATACTGATACTAATGACTGGGAATATGATAAATGCAGAAATTGCAGTTGATGCCCTTTCAATTTGGTAAGCAATTTATATGTCTGTTGTCAAAATGGTCATTATTTCTAATTGTGCTCATATATAGTCCAATTAACTTTATAATAAAGTTTGTTTAGTCTGAGTTGTGCACTTTTTAACTGCAGCATGACGATTAATGGTTGGGAGATGATGATCCCTCTAGCCTTCTTCGTGGGAACGGGGTGAGGCATCAGTTTAATTGATAATTTATTTTTAAATAATTCGTTTCCTAACTTTATCTTCCAATATTATAAACGTATAATATCATATTGTAGAAAGGCTCGTAATATGAATGTTGTTGCAGGGTAAGGGTGGCTAACGAGCTTGGAGCAGGAAATGGAAAACAAGCTAGGTTCGCAACCATAGTGTCGGTCACGACGTCTCTAATCATTGGACTCTTCTTCACCGTGTTACTTCTGATTTTTCACGATAAATTTGGGATCCTTTTCTCCTCTAGCAAACCCATTCTTGATGCTGTCGACGACCTGTCTATCCTTTTAGCCTTAACTATTCTTCTTAACAGTGTCCAGCCAGTTCTCTCCGGTAAATAAAAATATTTTAATTTTTTTTGAATATTGGTTACGTACATAAACTTTTTTGCTTGCAACAAATCATTTCACTATATAATATATTTGACAGGTGTGGCTGTTGGATCGGGATGGCAAGGACGTGTGGCCTACATTAATATAACCTGCTACTATATAGTTGGACTTCCCCTTGGTATCCTAATGGAATGGATTTTTCACCAAGGAGTTATGGTAACTTTATTCATCTTCAAACTTCTATTCTTTGTTTCTCTCCATGTATGCCTGCTTTCAAGGAGAGGAAAAAAAAATGTGATCAAAATTCACTAAAAAGCGAATTAGGTCCCTGTTTGCCGTAACTTAAGAAGTTGATAAAAATTTAAATCAAAATTAATAATTATTTTAAGGCCGGGACAAGGGTTTCAAACCTAGTGAATTTTAGTCGAAGAAGTACTAAGCTGAGACCTACAAAAGTCGGTGTCATTGACAATAATATCTTTCCATATTTCGAGCTCGTGCCCAACACCAAATAGGGGCCAAATTTCCATAGCTACATGCTTATCCTTTTTTAGTTACTAATATATAGACCTTTTATTTCTGCTTTGTTTGACATTATTAGGGGATTTGGACTGGAATGATATTTGGTGGAACTGCACTCCAGACACTGATTTTAACCATAATTGTATTGAGATGTGACTGGGAAAGAGAGGTAAGCAAATTTTTGGCTAATGTTCCAAAATGGTTCATGCACACTTAGATTCCTTTATATTTATGTTCCGCTGGTTTCATAAATTCTATCTACTTATTCTTCATTAATTTCTTTTTATTTATAACTAATAATTTATAAATACTTTTTAAACAAGCATTATTTGAAGTTTTCTTTCCTATAGGCCTTAATCAGATATGTTTATTAATATTTTGTTACTTATATAACACTTAAATTAATTATTACAGGCAGATAAATCAAGCAGACAGTTAGAGACATGAAGAGGATCATCTCCAGTGGGATGTAAGTAGCACTACTCTGGATCCATTTACAAGAAAGAGGATGCAAAGAAACAGTGGAGATAAATTATCAGAATTTAAATGGTCACATCATCAAACGAAGAAAAATTAAAGAATTAAGTGGGGATATCTAGAAGAACTTTCACGGATTTAGGGTTGGACGTAGGCGGCTTTTGGGCAAATCCTCTCTCTCTCTCTTACTTTTCCTTTGTTTTTATCTCAATTTTCAAAGTATTACATAATATCAAAATAATATAAAGTCAAAATATTACATCTTTTTTTTTTTTAATATTACATTCTTGATACTATTTCAAAGTGCTAAGGGTCTAGTTTTCTATGTCGTTAATGAGGTGCAAAACGATCAATTGTAATAAATGTTACGGACTTGTCAAAAAAAGCTGTTTAAAGCTAATATTTTGAGAATTACGATATCATGCTAATTTTAAAAAATATTCGACGATCATATGTTAATCGAATCCAAAAATCTCCTACGTCATTTCGAAACTTGTTTCGAGAACTATATTATAAACATATCGAATTATCCAAATAGACATCGCAAATAATTAAAAATACATCGAATGTGAGATTTTAAAAGAGACGTCTAACTCATATTTTTCTTTAAAATTTTTCAATTATTTCATTAATATTTATTTTTTTAATTTTTTTGCGAGACAAATTTCTCAACATAATTTATGTCATTGTATTAGGAAATTTACATGGAGTATGATATCAATTTATTTATTTATTTATTTTTATTTTTATTTTTATTTTTTGCAATTTTACAGTTGAAAAGTCATATCCCATATGAATTTTCGGATGTAAATTTACAGAGTATGATTTTTTGGATATAAATTTTTAAATCTAAAATTTCTCATAACTTTTTCCGAAAATTTGGATTGTGCCTCTAACTCGAAATCTCTGCTTCCACCACGGTATGGGTTGGTGGTATGATAGATTTCTTTTAATTTTTTTTATTTTTTTGTCCTTTCACGTAAGCATCTTGGAGAAACGTGGCACACTTTAGTGGTAATCAAATGTCTTAATCAAAATTTCTTTAACCGCCTTGGTTGTTTTCTAGACATTTCTCCAATGATGTACTATTTTATTCTAGACAAATCTTCACACAGTGATGGTGGATAAAAGCTTGATAATTTCAGCGGCTTCTCGGTAGCTATAGATAGGTTGCTTAAATATCGTAATTGTAGACCAATATATAAGGCTCGACATACCTTTCTTAACGACGTTAATATTTTAGGATAGAACTTCAAGTTTTAATTTGATATTAGAGTCCATTAAACACAAACAATCAATTTTTGATTAAGACTCAAACGAGATACCGGTTCCATGATTGATTAAGACTCAAACGATTCACCATATTGCAATGAATAATGCTATTTGAAGTTGTTCACTACAGCGGTCACCCTACATGACATATACTTGATAGTTGGTTATTTAATGCATTAATGAATTAAAAATTACCAAATTAATAGCATTACTCTTAGGATGATTGCCGTAGTGAGCGATTACGAATAATATTACTATTTTACAATAACATGTTAAGGAATAAATACATAGACTAACATATACGAGTTTAAACTCCTCTTAATAAGGTAGCTTTTTCAGAATATACTCTTAACGATTCCACTTCCAAGACAATCAGCTGCCATTAAACCCATAATCAATGGAAATCAAAGTCATGCATCCCATAATTCATGGTCAATCAACAACTGGACTATTCGTTTTTTGTTTCAATTTTTTTTTTCCCTGTTGTTGCTGCTGTTTAGCACAACTGTGAATTTTTGTCAACCGGGCTTTTAGCAATGGCACTTTTTCATTTCAAAAGAGATGTTATTCCTGTTTACCGTCAATCTAAAAGGTATAGTCAAGATTAAGCTCTAGTTTAGCAAATTTCTAATGGTTTATAAAGAGGAACAGTAGTATTAATTATAAATGTGTGCTTAAAATTAATATTTGACTTTAACAGACTGCAAACGAATTTTGCTAAAAATCAAAGTGCTTTAGAGTGCATTTCAATTGTTAATCCGTACCATGTTCTGATCTATTACTAATTTATACTCTCGTAATTATGAAATATGGATTATGCAGTTTTGTTTAAATATTGTTTCATATTGCTTATTTGATGAAATTAGGCATTAAAGAGGGTTTCAATTACTGAAAACAACTCAAATGTTTTTGCAATGTAAAGTTAATGATAAATAAAGAAGAATCATTTCATGCATCTTGGTAATTTAAGACTTGGCGCACTTTGTTACGCCCCCATCTGAAACACTTCGAAAATTCCACAACCACGTCATACGAGGCGTGCGACATCCACCCGAAGTGGTTCCAAAGTGGATCCACCATCTGCTAACACACCACAAGACACGGACAATCTACCGAACTGACCGAGGCGCCCTCGCCCCTGAAGCCGGAGCGCTGTTCAAGCCGAAGTTTCTTTGCTAGAGGATCCGCCGCCAATTTCAGAGAGAGATCTATGTCAAGATCCTTTCTGCCCTCAAGATTCAATTGATTTGACGTCTCCATGAGCCTAGTTGATGTGACGTATCAACTTTATGTCAACTCAATTCGGGAGAAGTAATTATTCGCCTACTCTATAGACACAGCTGATTGATGCCTATGAGCAGACGTCTCACGCCGTCAGATGCATACACGTGTCCCACATCCAACGGATCTCCTCACCTATAAATACCCAAAGTTTGGCAAGAGGTAAAGGTAATGAAACTCTTACAACATAACTTTCCTGAACAAGCAAATATATATTCTCCTCCCCTTTATTTAGCAGAACCTGGGTATTGTTCCGACCACCTGAGGCTAACTTGACCGTCGGAGTGTATGCGGCCGCCGCCACCCTCGTTAGTCCTGGCTGTGTGCATCTAACCGTGCGTTGACTGTACGCAGGGAGGAATACGTGGAGTAGCTATCGATTGGCCACGTGGAGGCTCCAATTTGCGAGGTCAACAGATTGGCGCCGTATGTGGGAAACTCTTCCCATCCAAAGTTCTGCATTCTTCACCGGAGAAACCACCGGAAGACCAGTGACTTACCCTAAAAAGGGTATGTTCTTGAAAAAAAACAAAGTCGAGTTATAATCCAAGTTCTTATCACCCTTGAAAAAGGAAATAAGATGAGTTACAGCCATGAAGACAAGAATCCTATGAGAGAGGCCTCTGAAGAAGAGGTGCTCCGTAACAATGTTACCCACCAGAGACCCCATCACCGACGTCGCCGAGGTGAAAGAACAACCATGCTCGCCGAAGGAATGACTCAAATAGCTGAGGGCATGAGAGCTATCGTAGCCTAGAATATGGCAATGCATGAACTTCTCATGCAAGCCCAAGGTCACCAGGGCTCTCAAATGCCCCAAGAATCATATCCAGTTCATGAAGCCCCGGCATCCCGTTCCCGAGGCCATTTGAGCCAGCACAGAGAGCGCCCCCTCGAAAGAGGAGTGGGTGCTGAAGCCACATCCTATGTGCAAGGGAGCCAGCCAGCAGAACCACGATGGGGGACAATTTTCATCAGGAATATGAGACACAAAGGTCAGTCAGCGTCTTCGACCGAATAGGGCAGGACCCTAGTAATAGGGTCCACTCAGTGCCAAGATCAGCTCGGCAAGAGTAGGAGCAAGAACAAGCACTTCCCCCTCTTAGAAATAGGAAGGAGAGCATGGGCTTAGTCGATTGGGGGAGTCGAGGAGAAGCACCTCTCTCTCCCCAGAACATTCAAGATGACGAAGGGTTAGATGGGTCTTGTCGATCTTATGAAATTGATGATGATGATGATAACCTCTCTTTCTCAAGGTATATCCGAAGTTTCCAAATGCCTACGAATTTCATGCTCCCTAAAATCCCCAAGTATGAAGGAAAGGGGGATCCGGAGAAGCACCTCACCAAGTATATGACGCAGATGAGCCTCGAGGGAGCCTTCCTCGCTTTGAAGTGCAGAGCCTTCCACTTAACTTTAAGCGGAGCTGCTGAAGTGTAGTATAATAGACTTCCTCCCCTGAGCATTAGGAGTTGGTCGGATCTGAAGAAGGCATTTTTGAACCAGTACCTTTCACGCAGAGAAGGAGAGGCCCCGGTGCAACGCCTGCAAAATATGGTGCAAGCCCTTGGAGAGATGCTGAAAAGCTATCTCGCCAGATTCATAGACGAAATCACGTATTGTGAGTAGGTAACTAACAGAGAAGCCCTTTCAGCCTTGAAGGGCGGCCTCAACATGAACACTTTGTTCTGGAGGGATGTGCGCGGCAAAAATCCCACCACTTATGACAGCTGGTAGAAATGATGAGAGTTGAGATCGTTAGTAAAGAGATGATTGATCACAGAAACCGTGCAGCGCAGGGACTCCCTCCACCTCAGAGGAAGGTAGGTCGAGGACCTGCAGCACACCTTGTCACTTAGCAATAGACTCAAGCAAGTCATACAATAGCTCCCACCTCCGGACAGGCACTGGCTTCTGCCACGCTAAATGCAGTCCAGGTGTTGGCCTACGAGAATTTCCCTGGCGAAGCAGGGCCATCTGGAAGAACTGATAATAATAAAAAGAAGAAGAAAAGCGGTGAAACAGGCCCTTAGAAGGGGCAAGGTTTTGTACTTTCCACCAACTCTATGGGCATGACACCAGCGAGTGCAAAGACGCTAATCGGCAGTCGGATCAAAGTGACTCACATCCCTCCCAAGAGGAACGAATATCCTCGTAGATCCGCTTCTCCGAACAAGGAAGGAAGAAGACCTAGAGAGCAATCACCCCGAGGAAGAGAATCAAGAGACCGATGAGGGTCCAGACAGAGAGATCCAGCCCCATTTTCAGGAGGCCAAACCATCAGGGAGATCGACACGATCATTGGGGGACCTAACATCGATGGGAACACCAAGAACACCCAAAGAAATTACACAAGGGAAGCAAAGGACCCGCCAATACTTACCTACATTGTCAACGAGTTCCTTAGTTTTAGTGGGAACTGCATTTTAGGGTCCAAGTGGCCAATATGATGGCCCTAATCACATTCTCCTAAGAAGATGCAGAAGGAGTTCACCACCCCTATTGTGACGCATTGGTTGTGAGAGTCGTAGTGGCAAGAAACGGGCTCAAACGCATGCTCGTCGACAATGGCAGTTCAGTGAATATTCTATTCGGTTCCACGTTCGACAAAATGAAAATTGAACATGGGTTGATCCCCATGACCGATCCACTGTTCGGATTTACTGGAGACAGCATCGTCC